CCAGGGCAAATCCACAAGCCGATCACTGTGAGTAATATCGATATTTGAATATTTGTGAATGTCCAATTGTTTATTTCCTTTAAGCTTTATGAGTTGCTATTCGGGATTGTGGACGAGAGTCCAATATGAATAAACACAAATGAATGGGCCAAAGGCCGTTTTGACATAAATGAATGGGCCAAAGGCCGTTTTGACATAAATGAATGGGCCAAAGGTCGTTTTGACATAAATGAATGGGCCAAAGGCTGTTTTGACATAAATGAATGGGCCAAAGGCCGTTTTGATATAAACGAATGGGCCAAAGGCCGTTTTGACATAAATGAATGGGCCAAAGGCCGTTTTGACATAAATGAATGGGCCAAAGGCCGTTTTGACATAAATGAATGGGCCAAAGGCCGTTTTGATATAAACGAATGGGCCAAAGGCCGTTTTGACATAAATGAATGGGCCAAAGGCCGTTTTGATATAAACGAATGGGCCAAAGGCCGTTTTGACATAAATGAATGGGCCAAAGGCCGTTTTGATATAAACGAATGGGCCAAAGGCCGTTTTGACATAAATGAATGGGCCAAAGGCCGTTTTGATATAAACGAATGGGCCAAAGGCCGTTTTGACATAAATGAATGGGCCAAAGGCCGTTTTGACATAAATGAATGGGCCAAAGGCCGTTTTGATATAAACGAATGGGCCAAAGGCCGTTTTGACATAAATGAATGGGCCAAAGGCCGTTTTGATATAAACGAATGGGCCAAAGGCCGTTTTGACATAAATGAATGGGCCAAAGGCCGTTTTGATATAAACGAATGGGCCAAAGGCCGTTTTGACATAAATGAATGGGCCAAAGGCCGTTTTGATATAAACGAATGGGCCAAAGGCCGTTTTGACATAAATAATCAGACACAGATTGGAGCTAAGTGCCTTAGTAAAGAGACCAAGGTTAATAACCTCGGCCAGTCTTTGTTCAAATCTTACATCGGCGACAAGGTCAAAGCCACGTGCCTTATAAGAACCCAAATGGAACTTAAGTTAACATTAGGGGGCAGAGGGCTGAAGAATGATGCTTGGGAGTTGGAATTTCACAAGCTTAAGTTGGTTTAACACTTGTTGAAATTAAAATTTACAAGTTTAAGTTAAATCGATGACGTGTTTAACACTTGTTGAAATTGAAATTTACAAATTGAAGTTAAACCGAGGTCACGTTTAACGCTTGTTAAAATTTAAGTTTACAAGTTGAAGTCAAACCGATAACGTATTTAACACTTGTTGAAATTTAAGTTTACAAGTTGAAGTTAAACCGAGGTCACGTTTAACACTTGTTGAAATTGAAATTTACAAGTTGAAGTTAAACCGAGGACGTGTTTAAACACTTGTTGAAATTAAAATTTACAAGTTGAAGTTAAACCGAGGTCACGTTAACACTTGTTGAAATTGAAATTGAAATTTACAAGTTGAAGTTAAACCGAGGTCACGTTTAACACTTGTTGAAATTGAAATTGAAATTTACAAGTTGAAGTTAAACCGATGACGTGTTTAACGCTTGTTGAAATTTAAGTTTACACGTTGAAGTTAAACCGAGGGCACGTTTAACACCTGTTGAAATTGAAATTGAAATTTACAAGTTGAAGTTAAACCGATGACGTGTTTAACACTTGTTGAAATTGAAATTTACAAGTTGAAGTTAAACCGAGGTCACGTTTAACGCTTGTTGAAATTTAAGTTTACAAGTTGTAGTTAACCGAGGTTATGTTAAAAGAAGATTGGTTTAACACTTGTTGAAATTTTGAGAAAAATTTACAAGTTAAGCCAAGGTTATGTTGAAAGAAATATCTACATACTTGCCGAGATTACAATGTTACCAAGACTTGAAAGAAATTTGAAGACAGAAGTCTTGCTAAAAGTGAAGTATCAAGTTGTAAATAATATTTGTGAAAATATTGTAAAAAATATTTTCAAGTGTTAAGCCGAGGCTGAGATAAACCGATTAGTGGGTACAACCGAGGTGTTACACCCTGAGGAGATTGCATAGTTAAGGTGTATTTTGAAGACATGCAAATTATTTTAAGTATAGAAGCATACAAAAGTAAAAAGAAAACACATACAACCACGTTGAACGAAGAAATTAAAGAATGCATTTAGAAAAGAAAAGAAGGCACTCCGGCCTAACATTGAAGAGTGATTGTTTAGATTACAGAAAGGCCGGTGTGATGTACGTCGGTGTCAAACGGTGGTAGTAAACAAAGAAGTGCAACGAAAGCCTCACCGGAAGGAGAGACTGAAATTGGTTGCAGAAAGCTTCGCAAAAGCAGCAATGGAGGATTTGAGAGAGAAAGTTTGAACAAGAACGAATATGAAGAAGTGAAAAGACGGAGAGAGAGTTTATTTTGATCAAAAGCATGAAATGACGGCAAAATGGCAATTATGGTGACTTGGACGACATGCTTGTCAGACGGAGCACGCAAAAGTGATGTGACTTGATGGTGCGTATCAGGTACTGACCAGTAGGGGAAAGACACGTGGTAAAAACGGTTGAAATACTATGTGTGCCAGCTCATACGTGTGCTGGAACCCTTGGAGTTCTTGATTCAATGAAGCAAATACCTTGGCTAGGAGGACGGTTTCGGCTGAGAAACTTAAACGAACTTAGTCGTTGGTTCTAAGGCATAGATGAAAAGCAGACTATAGGTCTTGGTCATATTGAGCCGACGAGTTTTGACTTCGGCAATAGATGATGAAGCGAGCTTAGCTGACGTGCTAAATGGAAAAAATGATATAGGTTCCATCACCTCAGGATGCCGAGGTAATAGAACCTAGGGGGCAGTTGTGGGGATATAATTTTTGAATGACAACACGTGGCCGAGGTGACACCGAAGTGTCAGCTGAGATGCCACGTGTCCTAGTCATGATGCCGAAATGATCTCGGCTAGGCCGAGGTTATCTGCGAGGATACCAAAATCCGAGATAAGCGGATAAGGGACAAGAGTCCTAAATTGGAAGAAGACTTCCGTTTGGGTAAAAATAAGATTCTTATAAAGTTTATCCTAATCCTACTGGGAGTCCAAGATTAGCAGTAATCCTAAGTCCATTAGAGCTAGGCTTCTATTGGGACTAGGATTGTGTTGGCTATAAAAGGGATGTACCCCCATGGGTCTAAGGTATGCTTTTTATGCCCTGTCTAGTGAGTCAAGCACTATTGGTTATCTTTGAGAGATATTTTACTGACTTGATCGTTGGAGTGCCCCCGGGTAGACGAACCATCGCCGAAATCTCTTCTTTCTGTTGCATGTCGTTCGGGCTTAATCTATTCTGCCGGTACTCTCCAGCTAAGTACTAATTTGGTAGTGTGGCCAGAAATTGACACATATAGAAACAAAATTTGAAATTGAAACTATGAGAATCAAAGTGAAAGCTTACTCGTAGTAGAGGGACCAATAGTGTAATTTATCTATTTATTAAAGATAATATATACATATATATATATATATATAATGTGTTTTTTATTGTAAAATTTTAAAATATTTTTCACAATTATTTCATTTTTTAAATTGATCTTTCTTTGATATATTTAAAAATTAAAATAATAGAAATTTATTAAAGACAAAAAGAATTTGAAGACACGAAATCAGAAATAAATATAAAAAAATTAAAACAAACAGGATGGTGGTGTTGATTGGGTACTAGTTAGGAATTTCTATTTTAATAGTTTTTATTAATTTTTTTTAACGATTAAATTATTCTAAAAAAATTGATATCTTTGGAAAATATTAAAATGTTAGTTTTCTGATAAGTTGATTTATTTATTTATTGGTGTCTTTACCCAAGATCTCATGACATCATAATAAGAATAAGTTGATATTACAGATCTACAATTAAAAATAGGGTAATGGTAGGGATACTCAAATTTTTACTAAATAAATGATTAAATGTCTCATATGGATGTGGGGTACACAGTTTTGTAAACCACTGATTCATGTAAGACATTTAATCATTTATTTGGTAAAAAATTTATGACTTACAACATTTATCTTTCTTTAAAACATGACAAATGAATTAGATCTTATATAATTGAGTGTGTGATAAATCAAAATTTGATAACTAATTTATTATGAATTGTTGGAATTTGGGTCGAATTTTGACCCGACTCATTACTCATGGAGCGTCACGTGAATTGTTAATAATTCACATATTTAATAAATAAGATAATTAAGATATTATCTTTTGGGAGATGTTTAAGTTGTTGTGGGAGATTACAGCTCCACTTCTATCATGAGAGAATTTTTATATATTGGTATAGAAAAAAACATTTATATCATATGTATTAATGGTATGTGAGTTTACCTAAAAATCTCTTGTAAAACAATTTCTCTCTCTGTTCTTCTCTCTTAGGTAGCCATAGTTAAAGCTAAGAATTTAGAGTGTGGATATAATACTAAGAAACTCTGATAGTCTTTCAATTGACGAATTTTTTTCCAGACGAGACTCGTAATTAGGGAATATGACTACTGGTAGATTTTCCTTCATGAATAAAATTAGCAAAGAATTTTTTATAAGTCTTAGTCACTCTTTTCTCATGAAAGGATTTGGAAATGGAAGGGCATCTCCAACTCACTAGGTATATAATGCTTGTCAGTCAAAATGTTTAGTATAACTCTTTTTTTCTTTTTTTTCTTTTTTACAACTTCAATACACTTGTCATATGATTAGGCAGTTTAGTTCAACTCACATTCACTAACTATATCTAATTAGTCTTCAAAAGTTAGGCAAAACATATTTAATCATTAGGATAATTTCTCTCCATTTTTATTGCTGATGTGGCATTCTATGGATGGCTAAAATTAAGAACATGGTTAGAGTAAAAATATGAAATAATTGACAGACAAAACAAAATGTATATTTTATAGTAATGTTTAAATAGTTAAAATGCTTATTACTATTAGAGATGCTCTAAGTGATGTGCGTCACTCTTTTCTGGTATATAAATATACAAACATAAGTACATCGTTATAATAGCGGTGACAATCTGCATAAGTCATTTGGAGTGAAAGATCATAAAAGATCTGAGGATAGGCATGGAGAGAAAGGCTTTCCGTTTCTTGCTGTTGCTGCTTATTCTCTTGTCATCTCGTAAAGACTTTCAGTCTCTCTCTTTCTACATGTTTAATCTAATTTTTTTTATTTTTTTTATTTTATTACTTTTCCTATGTAGTGTATGTAGTGTAATCTAAGAAGGATTCCATATGATCTTATTAACTTTTCATAAGATGATTTGAAATTTCATTTCAATATGATAGAATATATAATTGATCATCACTAGCTAGGCTAGTTCCTCATAAATGCATATTTCACTACATTTACATTTAGATTGTGTTTGGATAATAGATATGAACAAAAAATTTATAAAGAAAAAAGGCCAATGTGAATGAAATACATAAGTTAATAAATTTTTTTTTCTTCATTTCCCCTTTTAAATTATTATCAAAATTCATGATCTAAATACAGCGGCACTAGAAAAACAACCTACATATCTTACATTGTGTTTTGTTTTGTTTTGGTTATTTTATTTGAAAAGCAGATGAGGGGAAGATTATGAAAGCAGTAGAGGGGAGAATTTGTGAGTCAAAGAGCCATGGGTTCAAGGGTCCGTGTATGACAGACCACAATTGTGCTCTGGTTTGCAGGAACGAAGGTTTTTCTGGTGGCAAATGCAGAGGCGTCCGTCACCGGTGCTTCTGCACCAAGCTATGTTGATTGATGCAATGCAACGCCTTGTCTCGTCTCGTCTACAACGTAGACACCAACCAAAACAAATAAATATCTCTACTCTACCCTTTGGGGGGAGGAGAGAAAGCTAGGCTATAGCTAGGCTGTATTGTTTGTTAAATCTCTTGTCTACTCTATGGAGGAATGTAACAGCTAGGGTGTTTGTTTAGTTTAGTCAAAACTCCAGTCAGGTCATTTCAGTCTTTGAATTTACCACTTTCAAATCCAAGTTGTACTAGTAGAGCTTTGGATAATGGTGGTGGTTTTCGTTTTAGTATTTGCTTTAATAATAATAATTAAGAAACGGATGGGAGAACTTACAGATCTTTCTATAATGCTATTATTGTGATGTGAATTGAGTTTTGCTATGCTAGTTTTATTTCTAATTTTAAAGCAGAAAAATGTTTGGTGGTCTGAATTTGTGTGGTCCGAATGGTTTGAATGTGTCAAAATAATGTTGTTTTACATCTAAAATGACGTTGTTTTGACACATTCAAGCCATTCAAGCCAAGAAAATTCAAACCACCTAACATTAAAAATTCGAACCACCTAACATTGTTGTTTAAAGCATGAAAACCGAGCTACCATCTCATAATTTGTCAAGATGCTTTACTTGAACAAATTTCATCTTCAAATCGAGAGCCACTATTTATTTATTTATTATTTTTAATTATCTAAAAAATAAAATTGTCATTTGATTTCAGACAAAGTCACTTTACTATCATATATGGATGAAATTAGTAGGGGAGGCCAAGGGGCTAACGAGCCCCCTAAATTTTTCAAAAAATTGCAATCACATTTTCTAATTTATATGAATATTTATTTACTTAATGTATATAAAATAAGGACAATATCAGATAAGTCATAAGTCATATTTTTCTAATGAAATTTTTATTGGGTATTAACATTATGATGATGAAGGAGTTGATTCATGTGTTAATAGAATTTAATGGGAATTTCATTAGAAAAATAAGATTTATTTGATATTTTTCTTATAAAATAAACTTTTTAATAGTTATTAAATATATATATATATATATATATTGGATTAATTACCCACATACCCATCAACTATTAGTGCATATGAGTTTATCCCCTTCATTTAAGATTTTGTATATTTTTAACTACTTCAACTATATTATTTTCCATCCTTCTAAAAAAAGGCGTTCGTATGATTTTTATTTTATTGACTCTCAATATTTCTACAATATATATGACATGGTCACCAATTATTTTGCATGATACGTAGTAGCATCAAAATTTATTTATTTGAAAAAAAAAGAATTACAAGTTATAACATATCAACCAGTCATATCGTGGAACAAACAACAAAAATAAATAAATAAATAAATAAAAGCTAAAAATAAATCAGACTACATCCTAATAACCACACTATTCCACTTAAAGAGCGTATAAAATATCGCTAAATTTGTTAAAATTGTTCAATCCTCACTAATCCATTTACGTGGATTAAATTTTAAAGTTTATAATCTGTCTTTAAAATCATTCCATTTCGCTATAGTTATACATATATTTTTTTAACCTCTAATGAAATATCAAAGTAAAAAAGATATAAAAGAGATTTAAAATATGAAATTTGTTATAAATTAATAGTTATATATATGAAAAATATTATACAAATTAGTATTATATATTATAGAATGCTTGATAATTGTTTAAGAATATTATATTATTCAATCAACTAGCAAATTGAAACCATCCTAAACCATTCAAATTACGGTTTGATTATTTGTCAATCTGTCATTTACGATTCGGTTTATAATTTTAGTTTCAAACCGTCTAAATCACATCGCGCACACCCTAATTCCACCAATCACTTCTTTGATTTCTAATAGGAGAAATTACATAAACATCAAGCTACAAGTTTATGTAAGAATTTAAAGACACCAGCAATTTGTTTGCTAGTTATGATCCAAAATACTATCATAATGTTAAAAATCCTAAGCTTTCACGTTATTTCTGTCATAACGATGTTTGTCTCTCATGTGACTTTTTGTCACCCTGTGTTTTGGAGGAACACTAACATAAAAATTTGTATTATCCTTATTCTTCTGAAAAAATATTATTACAAATCTTTAAAAAATATATATATATATAACTCTTTAATAGATTGGAAAGCAGCTAACATATCTGTCCGAAATCATTTCTACTCGAAGCAAAGCCGTTCCGAACCTTCGGAACACTAGGCTGCACGAGGTATGGCTTATTTGCGAGTATGTAGCACAATAGCGGGCCGCATTCGAGCTTTCAATCGGATACTGACTTGGACTACGCATTCAGAATGCAAATATTGTGTGTTTCTGTTCTCTATTACAAGTAACTTAAGCCTTCGTTTTGAGATGAGTTCATTTAGGTTAGATTTTTTGACATTTAATCAGTGCGCTACAAAATGCTTGATGTAAATAAATAAATACGATTTTGCAATTTTTTTTATAGATCTACTAACGACACTGTGATGACATGTAGAGGTAAAAAGAAATTAAGAATAAGTATATTTTGAATGTAAACTTTTTAATCGTCGTATTGAATTAAATTAGGTTATTTTGATCGTCTATTGAGTTAATTTGGTCAAGAAATAGTTTCTATTCAAACGAAGGTCTTAGAATTATCTATCGAGTATTATTATCGGTATACCGTTGTAGGATTGTTTTTTGTTATCTTTAGTAAGCCGATGAAATCTTTTTTCGTGCAGCTCGGCCCGAGATTTGTGCAGGCTATAGTTTTATTTTGAATAGTACTGGTTATGTAGTAGTGAACTTTAGAATTTTGAGTTATTTATTTAATTTTTTATTACCATGTATGAAGGAGGATCACCAATGCACTGAGGTTTGATGACTATTAGTTTATTAAAAAAATTATATTTGCGGTTTGTCTTTTTTATTTTTTTAAATACTAATTGATTGATGGTCCAGCCAAAAACTAATACCGGCGACAGCCTGCATTGAGGTGCACAACATTCCGCATGACACACGGGAGACACAGAGAATTTGATAGAGTAACAGACACCAAATTAAACCCTAGGCGTTGGATTGCACGGGAATTCGGATCCCGGTTCGCCCTGCCCTGCGGCTGTTCCTTATATAGCGCCTGGTCAAAACGACGTCGCTTTTGGAGGCAAATTTTCACCAAAAAAAAAAAAAAACGCAGAGGATGA